AACGTTAAAAAGGGAAAACAATGAGGCATTGTGTGCTTGCTTTCTAAAAGATGAAAGTCAAAAGACATAATTAATTCATGATAAAGTTATTTTCATATAAACTGTTGACATTTTGATAAGATTGGATTCATGTTCATCACACGTGAAATTATTTTATTTATCTCCATCCATCCAGTCTCTTCTGCTTATCCAGGTCCAGGTCACAGGGGCAGTAACCTACGCTTAAAGACGCAGACTCCTCACATAGCAGGGGTGAGGTGGTGCTCACTCCTCACCCCTGCTACATGGACCTCAAGGGATAAACCATCAATCCTGCTCAATGGTCAACGTTCCTCGTGGGGTCACACCCATTAGGACAGTGGGAGGGTTAAGTCAAGTTTGCGCTAAAACATATACTTTGCTATCATAAGTTAAAAATGTGACATAAAAACAAGCCAGATGTTTTCCCTTAAAGTAACATTTAAATAAAATTGATTTAGCAGGAGGCCGCCATTGCTATTTACTTCCCAAAGCATATTGGGTAGTGACGTCATATGTTTGCACCGCATATCTGGTTCACACGGCTGACAGTGCAGCGCACAATGAGAGCAGTTTCAGTTCATCCTTTCCAGTTTGAACCTGAGAGGCAAGTGGGTAGCAAGGATGAAAATAGCAAGTCAGCAGAAGAAAATGAAGACCAGAGAAACAAGGATGCAAGAGTGAGGCTCAATCACTGGCGCACATGCAGCAAAGGCAGGCCCATGCCGACAGAGATAGAGAGCATTTGTTGCAAAGAGTTCAATTTTATATATTTTAACATTCATAAAACAACCTTTATTATACATTATCACAGAAACACATAAAACTATCTGAATTTTCTTTATTATACAGTGAAACAACTTTACCAACTTTATTTCATTATTCTCAGATACTCCGTGCACCACTGTGCACCAAAACGCTGAGGCAGTTTGCTTCAATTAAGATATTCTTTGAGCAGCACTTGTTAGCCTCCATGGCCAGGTTAGTGCTAGGCTTCCAAATAGAAACCAGACAGTAGCTACACCAATGGCGGCGTTAGGCCCGACTACTTGGGCTCAAGCCCCGAATGTTTTATGAAAAGCCCCAGATCTAAAATGTGGAAGTAATATGCAGTACCAAAGTCCAACAGAGAGGGAGCAGCTGGCAATAGTTTGTAAACAGCCTGCCTGAGCGTCCACCACTGAAGAAGCCCTTCAGCAGCCGGCTTATTCTACAGTGCCTGGCTTCTTCTACAGTCTCTGCCTGAAACGCAAATGTAAAGATGGACATAAGAACGTTTTTTAGACCAAAAGTACCGCGACAGAACCCCAGCTTTGATGAGACTGGTGTTGACTCAGTTTGTGAGTCTTATTTGAAAATATTTGTGATTTGTAATATATATGATGTTGACTAGTGCGTGTCACGTGTGGGTGTGCGCACGCGCGCACGTGCACGCGTGCACGTGTGTTAAGCCCCGGATCTTCTTCAGTCCTAAATCCGCCCCTGAGCTACACTGTTACAATCACAAGTTCAGTGGACGGTGTTGTTCTTCACCTTACTGTTTTATTAATGTAAACATATATAAACTGCTGTAGTCCATGTTTTCCATTTTTAGGTCTTATAGGTATCCATCAGATCGCCAGTTTACCTGGTAGATGTGTGGCTAGCTAGGGAGAAGAAAACGCAGAGTCATCCCATCTTGTGCTGTTAACAAAATAAGGATGGTCTACCCTGAACCGAAAGGCATACAGGGTTTAACACGGTAGAAGTTCATGTAGACGTGGATGAGGCATGGACACATTTTAATGACACATAGTTTTGTTCTACCACATTATCAATAGCTTGACAAGTCAGAACTTCAGACCAAACGCCAAATTAAGAGTGGGCAATACATAACAACAGTTTTTAGCCAAATAAAACATTAAGCTACAAACATAAGTGTCCTCAAAATATATTTTAACTAGTAATTCATGCCTCCAATCTAATGTTCATAATAATACCTAATGATACTCTTTTTTAAATTAATATGAGCACTGGCATTGTTACAATAATAAAGTGAAGAGCATATCAAACATTAATATGGTACCAACATTTACCATGAACCCCAGATCTCATATTTCATCTTTTTCAGCCCTATTGACCTCCCGTTTGTTGGTTTCTTTTAAATGTTTAGCATAACAATCTTCTCGTGAGGAAAGCTGTGGACACATTGGTTTCGTTGTTGTCCTTCGACCGGAAGTCACAACTAAAAGCGGCACAACGTGTCATTGTAACCCTTCTCTGTAACAACAGCTATGCTAAATGCTAACGCAAAAGCTAATGTCTACAACCAGTTTGCGTCATCGTCTCACAATGCCTTGCGCGCTCGAAAACATGGCTGCCCTCGTACCTCAAAAATAGTTTGAAAACAGTTAAGATTGTGTGAATAAAAAAACATTTTGGGAGTTTACAACTGAGTTTTCATGTAGCGGAGATACTTGGAACTTCTTTAGAGCAACTTGTCTTCATATTTGAGGTTCCTCTTAAACTCCTCCACTTGGGGAGTTTCTTGAGTTTAAAAAAGACCAGATGGAGAAGGTTTTCTACTTGTTTTGTAACATAATTATTGCAAAAACTAAAACACCATGCTAATGTATACTAATCCCAAAAATAAAAACTAAATAAATAAATACAATTTTTTTTATAAAAAAAATATAACAAAATGTTAAAAACAATAAAATACAATATGTATATATCATCGACATATAAATACTGGACAATGGGTTTCCATAGGGTTCAATAACACATTTTTGAAGATAAATGGGAGGTGACCACCACCGCCATTTTGACCGTGTCACAGGGTCCGTCAAGCCCAGACAATTCCACAAAGGGGAAGAGAGGTGGAGCTGAGGGTTGGGCTGTAAGGCTGGGATCAACTGACGACACCCGGTCGAACAAGCTACAAGCTAACATGAAGCTAACCCAAAGCTAACGCGGAGGTGGGAGCTAAGCTAACGGAGGTAGAAACCTAGCTACAACCGGAGTTAACTGTGCACAACACCAGAGCTTCTGAGTCACAGATACGCCGGGCTGACTGCTGGGTAAAACCGGGTGGAACACAGAGGTCTCCGAGACCTCCACAAGCCGGCAGCCGCACAGCAGACAAGCGTCGCTGCGATCTGAGATGCGCAGAGCTGCCGCTGGGGAGAACCGGGTGGAAAGGTTTCCATCCCATAGCTCCACAAGCCGGCAGCCCGTAAAGCAGTCAGGAGCCGCGATCAGCTCAGCTCTCAACTGGCTCCTTTCGATCCGGAGGAGCGGCGGTTCTACTCCGAGTCCCTCCCGAATGTCCGAGCTCCTCACCCTATCTCTAAGGCTGAGCCCAGCCACCCTACGGAGGAAACTCATTTCGGCCGCTTGTATCCGCAATCGTGTTCTTTCTGTCATTACCCAAAGCTCATGACCATAGGTGAGGATTGGGACGCAGATCGACCGGTAAATCGAGAGCCTGGCTTTCTGGCTCAGCTCCCTCTTCACCACGACAGATCGGCTCAGCGTCCGCATCACTCCAGACGCCGAACCAATCCGCCTGTCGATCTCCCGATCCCTCCTACCCTCACTCGTGAACAACCCCGAGATACTTAAACTCCTCCACTTGGACCTCTCCTCCAACCCGGAGTTGGCAAGCCACCCTTTTCCGGTCGAGAAATATATAGGTATATATATGGTGTGAGTTTTATTTTAATGTTATCAATAAAAAATGTATCCACTTGATCACAGAAATAATCATCCTCCATTTTTATTACATCATAAAATACAGGTTAAATGCATTTTACCAACGCTGTATTTACAACTGTTCTGACAAAACAGATGTAAAGAGAACAGATATCAGTAAATATTCCTCATTGAAACTTGACGATCTTAGATTTTTTTTTTCTTTAGTCACGAAAATAATATATATTTCTGTTTTCTTCTTTTTTTTGCAATAATTTGCCTGATGTGGTTTTTGTGTTTGATGCCACAAAGTGGGGGCAAACTTGGAGCCAGCTTTACAGTAAAAACATAGTTTTGTTTCTAAAGTAACTTTCCTCAGACACTGCTCTCTGAAGTGACACCTGATGGAGTAAAAATGAACCAAATGGTATTTGGAGGAAGAAAAAACAGAAACTTCATTGGCTTGTTGGCGTTTGTTGAGCAAAAGTCATTTAGTCATGAATCTGAATTCATCTTTTTGAAATCCATTTAGACCCTTTTCCTAAGCCAGATGTAAAAGTAATAATTAGTTTAAACACAACAAACCTCAGGTTTCAGATTTACCAAAGTTAAATAAATATTAGCAGAACTGAAATCAGTTTAACTTCACAATCAGAAAAAGACATTAAATAAAATAAGAGTCGATTGATGATTTCACAGCTGCCCTGGGATGCACTGACAGAGGCGAGGCCGCTGAGCATGGGTGCCACTGGTCCCTCAGGTTACATGTCTTGCCCATGGACACAACAGCAGCGCTCTTTGCCAAGAGCCGGGATCGATCTTACAAACTCGCTCCACCTCCTTAGCTACTGCTGCCCGCAATGGTATATTATTATGAGTTGAAGTGGTTTGCGCTTTTATTGTGAAATCATATATCTCATTTCTCATTCAGTGTTCAGGAGCTGCAAATCTGTGCCGTTGTTATTTTGTAGGTCAGAAGGTGAAAAGTTCTGAAACCACTGAGTTAAATCCTGAAAAATGATTAAACAACTTAAATAAATTCTGATCATTCTTCTTTGATTTTTCAATTGAATGAAATGAGGGAGAAAGTTTGACTTACCTGCTGTTTCATTTATTCATAATAAATCTAGAACACTTCCAATAACATAAAATCAATCTTTTGACAAAGAAAGGAAAGTTCAGACCAAAAATTTTCCTAAACATTATACATGTTTGGAAACACTTTAGATACAATGGACTGAACCGAAGAGACATTTAGTGTTGCAGAAGTTTAGTCAGAGAACATCAAAGACTTACAAACCAAAAAAATCTATATTCAGCTACATCGTCTTTTATTTTTAAAAAACACAAAAATATTACAATAAAGCACAATAAAATCACCAGATTATGAATCAGTTGCTTGAATTATAATAAACTCACTTTTATGGATTTAAACTGATACGTAAAGGTTTCCTGTATAACTCAAGGGCTGGATGGTTGAAGTGGAATCAAACAGATGATGAGTGTAACACAAACACATGAACGCAGTGAGAACTGATGCCACTCTGTTCCTGCTTTTACTTTTTTCTAACTTTTTGTCACTTTGGCTGCAAAACGACGATGTTGACCCAGACTTAAAGCGTTAGTTTTAATGCAGCTTTGCACTGTTGATGACTCCAGATACATTTATGAGCATTAGCACACAAAGTCTAGCCCAAACAAACTGGGATGAAAGGAAGCCTTTGATCCATGGCCGACCGGAGTGACTTCAGCACTTCGGCTCGATTGTTTTCAGCTGAGGTTTCTCTGGCTTCACTTCAAGCTACGAGTCAAACTACCAGAACGGGATTTAGTCGAGATTCGGGGACCTTAAAGTTGTTTCACGAACAGAAACTCCCAGTTAAACCAAGCAGATTCTTATTTCTAAAGACGCGTCAAGTAGTTCTAGAAGTTATTGTGATATACTTTTTAAAACAAAGCTCAGTTTCTATGTCTTTGAGCTAAATTTATGCCGTCTTCCTGGCCTACGAGCTCTGTCGTTTCACACCAAGAGCTTAACGCCGAGGCTACGACAGCCCACATTCCATCTGATCATAGTTGTGTGTGACATTTCAAAGAGGATTATGAGAATGAAATGTGATAAAAACTATTTTCACGTGACCCCTGAGCACTTGACCTCTGCTAGGCTAGCGCTGCATAGCACCGCGACACAGATTCCTGGTTTCCCAAAGCAGACGGAGAAAGGAAAGGAAAAGGAGAAAATCAGATCAGCAACACTAAGTTTCTGGAGATCAAAACCAGTGCTTGGAAATGTGTTAATTTAAGCCAAAACATGAAGTGAGTTATAACTTTGAACAACACATATGCAGCCATTAAAACAGCAAAAGCGGTAAAACCAGATTTGTGATTAATTTTTACTCCAGCCGTCCACCAAATGCCCCCACACTGACTCTCCCTCTCACACAGACCCTACCTCTTCCCTTACTCTATTATTATATTATTGTGTATTTGTTAAATGTGGCCAACACAAATAGTTTATGTGCTCAAACATGTTGACAAAAAACCCATGGCTCATTGGGGGCTGATTGATGGCTGAATGTTGCCTCACCAATTATTAGTACACATAAAAGGATGCTGTTATATCCAGACCAGACCCCAACCAGAGGGGTCACCGGGTAAATACAGAGCCATCAGTCTGCAACTATATCACTCAATCTTGATGTATGAGCAAAGAGGTACAAATTAAATGTGTAGCGACCTTCTTGGGGGTACAGCACTCAACAGGTCGCCATGTGGGCTAATTTTGTGTACGGGCTTCAGACAATAAGCCTCTATAGCACACGGAGTAATTACTTTGTACACACACATCTGGAGTCGGGCTCCCAGAGGAAGTTAATGCACTTGAAAAATGCTTTTAGATGTGCAGAATGCTGCATGTGTGTGTGGAACAAGTGGAGGGAGCATGCACATGGTGCATACATGCATGTCGCCTTGAAACAGTCCTGACCATCTGATAATTGTTCAAATCTTGAAGTTCTGTGGATGTGTTGTGAGCTATTAATATATTACCTGTAGTAGAAGCTGTTTGAATGACCTCAGTTTGGAGAAATGGACGTTCATTTTGACCAGATGAATGAGCTAGTTTGGACAGGGACATGCCCAAAATGGGTTGCTGCCATTTGTAAACAACTTTAGTCTCAAAAACGACTGTTTTGCATACATTTTTACATTAAATGGTGCTCTTGGTGTAAGCTGGGACCATTTCAGACTAAATATCACATGGTTTCTGGAGAAATAAGTCGTGCTTTACAAATCTGATGAACGTACAAAGTTTTAGCATTTTGATCAAATACTAAAATGTTTTTGAGATTCAAGGTGGCAGCAATCCACTTAGGTTCCGTTCTTGTTTGAACTAGCTCTTAGTCCATTTTTTCATTAGAAAAAAAAGGTTTCATTCACAAGGCTATTTATAACAGGTAAGATATTAACTGTCCATAACCATTCCAAAATGTAACACCTAAAACCATTTGATCTATACATTTGAGCGAAATTGAAACATGAATAATTTGTTATTTTTTGTTCTCATTTTGCTCAAAGTCTTTCCTCTCATTGTGTGGCAATAAAGCACCACTTCTTAGGTAAACAGTGGGAATTGAGTTTCATCTGGCCTTTAACATCAGTGCAAATGTCTCTGATTGGTGCAAGGCACTGTTTGAGCAAACCAAATCTACATGAACGTTGGTTCTGTACTGAGATAGTTCAGCGTTAAACCCAAAGATGAACATGCAACATATTTAAAGAATGAATCAGCAGGACAAGAACAGGAGGGTGGTTGCTGAAAATCTGGTTACGGCTGTCCTGGTTAAAATTATCTCCACCATAAAAGCCAACAGCTTTAAAAAAAAAGCATGTAAAAACACAAATACAAATACTTATAACTTTATTGATAGTGTACTTGTACAAGATGTACATTCATATTTTTGTGAATCAAAAAGGGGGAGGAAAAAAATAAAACAACTTGTACGATGCGATGAGTCATGTTAGGCATGCTTGCATATGAAATGGAAATCATTTTCATGGGTACAACAAATTCCATGGAGTAGAGTTTTTGTTCAACCATCCCTGAAATCTTTGTAAACTCAGACACGCTACAATATTTTTTTTCCTTTTTTAGGCAAACAATGCACTACAGCCACACCTCCTATTCCAAAGCCAACATTTTAAAAACATACAAAAATAAATGCAAAGCCAGGTAAAAATGTACACTTGTAGTTCATCTCTCATAAACTTTCAGACAAAATAATAAATAAAACACCCATATGTTTAATTTAAAGTGGAGACATATATAAAGTTTTCTGTCAACAGAGAAAACGACCGACCTGACTGATCTATTTAGCACAGCGCTGCTTGAATTCATGTTGAAATAATAATGGTAAAATTTTATCTCGTTGTTTCTTCCTCACTAATTTGAAACGTTTAATCTGACATATAATAAAACATCACATATTACATGCAAAACAAAGCTGCATTGAGTTTCTTCCTGTTTCTTGCTTTTGCCTAAAACCTTAGATGAAATTGTATTTAGTGACGTTCGTTATGAGATTTATTCAGACTCTGACATCCAAAGGTGTGCTCATGTTTTCCTCAACAGCTTTCCCTGTTGATGCAAGCTCTTCTCAGTATAAATGTGTTTTGGGACGTATGGCACCTGGTTGATTTGTCCAACAAATACTATTAAAAAACAAAAAGCAACTCTCCAACAGTGCATGAAAAACAACCAAAAAAAGAGAATTCATTGGGTTTTTATCATCGAGGATTAATGCTAGCTGTTTTTTTTTCTTTTTTCTGCTATTTACAGTATTGCACTTAAACTGCACACCATTGCATTTCAGTTTGACTGATGCTTTCTTCATATTTTCAAAATTACAAAAGCAAAAAAAATAATAATAACAAAGATCCTCAACGTACCCTTTGCTGATCACATGAAGATATTAAACCCCCCCACCCCCCTCCCAATACCCTTTGAATTAGTAAAGTAGTATCTGCTTGTAGTGCCGTTTGTAAACGCCCACTTAAAAGACCTGAAGTGCAAAGGCCATCTTCACTTCTTTACCCAGGATACAACACAACAAGACAGAAACAGAGATAGAGAGACCGTGCCGCGAGGAGAAATGCAAACCAAGTCTTGCCGTTCACAGACAGTGATGTCTCTCTCCACCTCAGCCAAGAAAAAAGAAAAAAGGAATTGTCGCTTTGTTTTTGCACGAGTCCATAAGAGGGAGAATTTCAGACTGTGATAGAGACGTTTGGCGTTGAGGGGTTGTGAGCATGTCAAATGGCAGTGTTAGAAAACAGCTGTGGAGCAGTTACGTCAGGTGGGGATGGAGACCGGTCCCAGAGCGGTCCTCCATCAGAGCTCATGCACTTGGCAGCAGCAGGGAACACAGTGGTTGGAGACAAATATGGCCTTTGCTTTTTCTTTTAACTGTTTTCTTCTTTTAGCTAGTGAAAGAGGGGCGCGGGTCGGGCGTGAAGGTGAGAGCCGTTCCTTTAGTTCGGTGAGGTGTGTTCCCCCAAACTCAACCCTCTGCACTTCAGGACAGCGGCAAACCGGGCTCAGCGAGTCTTTGCTCTGGACCCTGCTGCTGCCTGCTTTGTTCTAACGTCCTCTGGCCTGACGGGCCCCGGCCCTCAGACAGACATCCACATGTGTTTGTACGGTCCTTGGGATGTGATCTGTGCCTGGAGTGGACTGAGCCACTGACTCCGCAGAAGTCCTGCCTGTTGGGCGAAAAGTGAAAGGTGATTTCATAGGTATTTAATTACCGTTCTCTACAAGTGGTTTGTTTTGGCAGCTGGTTTTGTGACAATTTTCTTGCTCCCTCCTCCTTTTAGTATTTTCTTCCTCCTCTGTTCTCCCCCACCTCCCTTCCTCTTCCTCCTCTCTCACACACACACACCGCCTCTCCTCTCTCTCTCTCTCTCTCTCTTTCTCTCTCTCTGTCTGTATGTGTTCCTCTCTTTCACTCAGTGTTTTTGTTTGTTTTAGTTTTAGCTGTGAGTGTCACGGCCCTTTTCACAGGCTCAGTCTTGTGTGAGAGGCGATTATGGGCATCAGGCGAGCGGAGGGGCAGCCCGGTGGGGTCAGAGTCCCAGAGCCTCCGTGTGTTTTCTTGCCTTGAGTCGCAGGTCGGCGATGCTCGAGTTCTTGCTGTTGCTTTTGGCTGCCGCCGCCACTGCTGCTGCTGCAGAGGCCGAGTCGGCGAGAGACGCGATCGGTAGTCCAAAAGGAGGGGGAGGGAACATCAGGTAGGGAGCATGAGCAGCCAGGTGAGGGTGCAGGTGAGGGTGGGAGTGGGTGACTCCATCCAACTGGAGCTGTGCTTGAACCTGCAGAGGAGCAAAAAGTTCAAGTCAGCATATGAATCTGATGAGGAGAGCTGGGGATTCTGGTTTCACAGTCTGACACGATTAAACCCCCCCAAAGCTGCTGCTTACTCTGTGTTTTCTAAGAAAACAGTCACGGCTTGTACTCTTTTTCATGTCAGCTATTCTAAAAGTTAATGAATCATACATCGCTCGCAGACACCACATCCAGCGTAATCGCCAAGAATCAAAGTACTTCCAGGACCCCGAACAGATTTCTTTAATTTACACTGAGGGCTCGGTTATACCCTTGGAAATACGCAGTCTTGTTGTCCTGATTATGTATTCAATTGCATAAATAAACAATTTTTTTTTTTGCACTAAAAAGACATTCACGTATTTGGAGTTATAAATTTTATTTATTCAGACGTATTCCTCAGTCAAAAAAAGAGAAACCATGTGGAGCACATGATATCAGTTTTCACATTCTTGGCAATTATTTTATGAGAAGTAGGTGAAAATTAAGCTTCAGCGTACTTCAGAGGGAGAGCTGAGCCTGTTGCCATTCCTCGTGAGTTTCAAACACCACAGGAAGAAGGAAAACTCGAACATTTTCTGCTTTCTTCTCCAACAAAAATAGAATTATACAAAGTTTCAGTGCAGCTTTAAAAAAACTGCTCCTTTGATTCTTTTCCAATTGGAATAATAAACACTAAAAGATCATTTAAGCTAAAAAGACTGCAAAGGCGTCTGAACAAAAGCTTCTGCAAACAAAATCATGAATATTTTACATAAATCTTAACATCAGGTAACAAACTGCAGCTCTGAAGACTCATTTCTAACTTTGTTGTGCCGTGGCATTTCATTAAAATGCAGAAGCACTAATCTACTAGAGTAACTCTGCTTAAGGCTTGCAAGTAACACAGTAACACAATTTACAAGAGAGCGTATTTACTTTGGAGTGAAGAAGGATTTTACATGTCACCTTAGGAGACCAGTGGCCATTGCAAGGATTTTATAAGCATATATGGAATATTTGTATCCGTGCACGCCTACGGCCAGCGTGAGCCTCATGCAGCGTGCCTCTTTCAGTATGCAGGCCTCCAAGCCTCCACCCCTGCCAGTGCAGCTCAACGCCAATATCCATCAGAGCCCAATCCATTCCTCGCTTTCATCATCCCTTTTATGTGCTCACGCCTGCTGCACTGTTGGCTTAATTAGGCCACTGCTTTTCACCGGGGTCAAGCGGACAACACAGCAGTCCCAAACAGATATGAGCAGATCAGATAATAATAATAATAATAATGCATTGAACTTGCATAGCGCTTTTCTAGACACCCAAAGACGCTTTCACACACTCTCACATTCACACACTGCTAGTGATGGTAAGTTACTTGTAGTCACAGCCGCCCTGGGGAGGTCTGACAGAGGCGAGGCTGCCATTTGGCACCGCCGGCCCCTCTGACCACCACTAACACAGGCAAGTTGGGTGAAGTGTCTTGCCCAAGGACACAACAGCAGGATACCCCTGGCGGGAGCTGGAATCAAACCCATGACCCTCCGATCATGAGGCAACCCGCTCTACCACCTGAGCTACTGCTGCCCAAATGATGTATGTCCGACACTCCCGTTCAGCTCCTTGCAGGAGTCTGAAGGAAATGCTTCATGCTTTTAAATTTGACAGCAGCTGCTTTTTCCACAAAAAAAGCCAAATACACAAAGTTTCTAAGTGTTTATATGATAATTCACCGCAGATCAATAAGATTTGTCTGTGTTAATTTGACTTTTTAGCTACGCTGACTCCCCTGGTTTGTTTGTTTTTAGGTCTGTAAACTCATGAGAAGACAAAAATGTGGCCTACTTGTTGGAAGGGCATTCGGAGGGCGCCCATGTTGACGTAGGGTGCTACTCTGCACGCGTCCAGGTGACTCCCGCTGCCCAGGATCACACCTGGAGAGAAGGGAAAGATGTCTGTCAGGCAGCCAGACAGTGTTTGTTATGTGAGATGAGGAGTTTTGTCCACATGAAATTTAAAAAGTCAAACTATATAAATAATCTTATCTTAAAATATTATTAATAAAATGTAAATAATGGTTCAAACAGAGGAAGATATATTTACCTTTGTGCATTTGGTTTTCTTGTTTTCGACATTTTGCTCTTCTGTTCTGAAACCAAACCTGCATTTAAAAAGCAAGGCGATGCATTAAAATTGCGTTTAATTTCACAGAAGAAAAATAATGTTACATTTATTATTGCCAGCACCAGCTGGAATCATTTAGGATTTACAAAAGGAGGCCAACTCGTTGCAAATATTTACAATAAAATTTAAAATAGACCTAAAAATTACCTTTTCAATAGAAATTATCTAGATTTATGCTCTGATTATGAAAAAATAAAAATAGCTGGAAATTTAAAAATGATCATAATATTATAATCAGACAAAATCAAAATGGAATCTTTTCATAAGGATTTCTTTAAGAAATACAATGTTTATTAATAATAATAATAACAACAACAACAGTTATTATTACTATTATTATTATTATTATTATTATTATTATATTATTATATTATTATTATTTTATTATTATTATTATTATTATTATTATTATTATTATTATTATTGTTGTTGTTATTATTATTATTATTATTATTATTATTATTATTATTATTGCATTTTATATTATTTTAAAGTAACATGTAAATAATGAAGTAAAAATGTTTCACTGTTTGTTCAAATAAGTTTTTTTTATTGTTGCTTTTTCAGCTCCCAGTGCAGAAATAAGACCTTTGAGGGTTTGAGGGTTCATTCAAGTAGGAGCTGGTTGGGAAATGACTGGTAGTGATTTATAAACTGCATGAAGCAGAGACTAGCTCCACAACAACACGCCAACCTACTGCAGGAGGGCTGCGACTATTCTGTCGTTAAGAAGGTTTAACCATCCTCCAATGTGCTGTCTGTCTTTAACGCTGCGGGCTTGGAGAGTATTGTTAATCAGCATCAACTTAATTTGCCTTGTTGAATAATATTACACCCCCACCTCTCTCACCCTCTCACCCCACCCTCCCCTACCACCTCCAGCAATGATTATCGTTTACAGATGCGAAATTAGCGACCGCAGAGGGCGCAGATTGATGCGCAAAAATCTGTCACTCTTTAATTACACCGAAAGCGTGTATTATTATTATTATTATTATTATTATTATTATTATTATTATTATTATTATTATTATTATTATTATTATTATTATTATTATTGAGGTATTTACTATCCCAGGTGTTTTTTTACGCACGCTAGTCCTCAGATAAATCAAGCCCAATAGACGGCCCGAAGATCAATTCCAATTACGCGCCAGTATGTTAAGCAAAGTGAAATACACTGGTTCAGACAGTTATTTCTTCATTAAGGACCACTCAATGATGCGCTTCACAAATACCCTAATCTCATTTCCGTTTTGATTTTTTATTAGAGACAGTGAATAATGACATTTAATTTAGCAGCACGCCAGAAAGCCAAAGATATTAGTCCTAACTGAATTACTGCCTGCTCCTCACCGAGCTCTCATAACTTTCCATTAAATTCATTGACAGCTGCTCAGAGCGCAGCTTTCACAGCCTGCTGCAGAGAAGGGGAAACAACTGCATGCGCCAAACACACCGGAAGTGCACGAGGCCATCAGATGTGAGAAAACAGCCCGTTTATGAGCTGCACCCGGTCATAAACTATTATAATGAACACCCTGGATTAGCTCGGAGGTTGTAGTTTGATCCCGCGTCACACCGTCAACCCAAGTCCAACAATGTTCATCTCCAAACGGCGCTCATGAAGCTCCATAATGGGGCTTATTCATCCGATTAGATCCTTCTGAACAGCAGCAGAGTTGGTCCGCAATTGAGTTATTTCTAATCTGCCTTTATGGGGACACTACATCAAGCCGGTGGCAGATATTGCAAAGAAAATGAGGAGGGATACGAGTTGACATCAGAGCGCGTCCCTTCAAGCAGCCGTTCAGGCTCTTCATTCATTTTAATGATTGTTGGGGAGGATTTTTTATCCCTCCTCCTCCACAGGCTGCTGCATGGGACCGGATCTACTGACCCCCGCTGGGGATCAGAACATGCCGGGTGGTGTGCAGCATTTGCGCCAGTTTGACACGAATCGAACTTATAGAGTTTTTATGTCATGACGTCATAATAATTACATGTCCATATAAATATTTATATTGGAGGGATTATAAAAGTCTGTTATAAATTTTACAAACCACAGAATTTTTTTCTATATAAATTTCAAACATGGCTCCTTAGTGGGAATTTATTTTATATTACAATAAAAACTATGACATTTTTTATCAATACACTTAAATGCTGGATATGTTTTATAATAATCTTTTGTTTTGAAGAAGCTGTCAGAAAAGCGTAGAAACATGCGTTAACCCATGTTTATATATTTTTTAAATTGGGATATCTTTTGGAATTTTTTCGGTTGCTTTTAAAAATTAGAAGGCACAACCAGTTCAACCTATTTACCTTTATTATTCATGACATTTCCAGACATTTTGAGAACAAAGTGGAGCGAAATTCACAGTGTTGTTTTCCTCCTCGTTTCAGTGCGCAGTGGAGGAGCTGCATTAACGTAGGACCTTAGAGTTTATTACTGTAACTTCTGTATTTAACAGAAGCTGACTTAACCTGCAAAACCTGCAGCGAAAACAACAACATCGCCTCTCAAAGTCTATATCGGAAAGACGAGCAGGATTTGTTACATTATGATTTGACCCCCTTTACTCCTGCAGGTTTTGATGATTTTATATAAACCATTTATTATTAATAATCTTAATAGAAGGGTTCGTGGTGAGCTCTCACCTGCACTCTGGCCTCGGACAGTCCCAGCCTCTGGCTCAGCTCCTCTCTCATGAACGCGTCCGGGTAGTGCGTCTCATCGAAGAGGCGCTCCAGCTCGTTGAGCTGCTCCAGGGTGAAGTTAGTGCGACTCCGCCGCTGCTTCAGCTTTCCCTGCGCGTCCTCGTCTTCGGATTTCACGTCCTCCTTTTTCTCCTTACACTCGTATATTCCTGTTAAAAGGCCCGTATTTTGGAAGAGAGGGGGAGAGGGAAAAAATCAGGTGTTGTTTTACTCACTCCATCCGGGTCAGTCATAAACAGTCATCACCGGACCCTGCAGGGCACGAGGCCTGGCTGTTTGACATCAGCAACACATAAACATTAAACAGCTTGCTTCTGCTGAGGCCTATACTGTCAAAGCTCCTAAATCAGTCAGTGTGCAGGCGTCTGCGTGAGGTTTATGGAACAAAATCCCAGTTCTCACTTTACTTCCATCTATTTCCGGCCTTTAGACTGTATATAAATAACCAATAACGGCTGCTATATTTTCATGTTAAAGTGTTTCATCTGCAAACTGGGAGCTGATTGATTTTATTTAAATGTGTATCAAGCTAATCCCCCTGCAGATGGAACAAGTCTTGATCTCTGACGATTGGATTTAGCCAGAAGCGGACAAATGAGCGTTATATAAATCCAAATTAAAATGTTTGGAAACCCCAAACCACTGCTTATTGTCTGGCTGCTGAGTGAGAAGCAGGCCTGTCCCGCTGTTTGACGCCGCTTCATAGGCACGTCATAAACTAGCCTTTTAGAGGGAGAGTTGTTTGGCTGGTCTCGGTCTAAAACGGTGATTTCTGGGACGCACGTGGAGGATTTTATTGCAATCATGTAACTAGACCCTTCTCCTTGTTGGTTATAACATAAAACTTTAGCTTTTTGACTCATCTGATGCAAAATGCCACCAAGAATGCGTTTAATGTCATAATTTTTTTTATAAAATCCCGTGCGTAAAATTTACGAGTTTGGCGCAAATCCTACAATTACGCTTTAATAAAGTTTGCATAAAATATTTAATGATAATGAATACATAAAATAAAATGTGGGAAATATAAATAAATTATGCACACTAGTAAAACCTTTTCTTATTTTAGGTTTGAAAACAATCATGAAATAGTTAAAAAAAATAGAAACGGTCACGCGCAGGGCCCGCCTCCCGATCTGTAGAATAATCACATTAAATTGCTACTTTTAGATGAAAAGACACAAATAAAGGCGATTTAGAATTGTGTTTAATTTATTGTTTGCGAAAAGGATCCTCCCCATAGAAAACGCTGAAGAATTTCTTTCCTCTCGGCGTTTATTTCTAAGAAACAATAAAAAATAACTCTAAAGCTCACCTTCCGTCGCCCTGGAAACGCTAAAATCCTTGAGTTTCTCTTTTTCCAGCTCCACGTGGTCCTTGTAGAGGTGCACCGGACAGTGGTTGGTGTCCGTTATGTCCTGCAGGTTCGTCTCCGGGCTGCCCAGCTCCCGCGCGCGCGTCAAGCCGCTCTCCAAAACTTCCCTGTACGTGATACTCTCTTTGCTGCTCTCCTTGCTCTTCTGATCGAAAGACTTCGACACGAATGCCGTAAGTTCTTCCATGGTCGGCTCGGCTCGGTCGCTCAGTAGTGGTCCAGCTCGTGTAGGGGGGGACGAGCGGGGGAAAAAAGAAAAATCCACCGTGGAAATTCTCAGTGTGTGTGTGTGTGTTACCGCTGCTGCACGGAGAACGCTGTTTCTGCAGGTCTGACAGCGGCGGCGGATGGAAGGGGTGGAGAGGAGGTGAGATCACTCCTGCTGTTGTGACTGTGTATTTGAGTGCTCACTATTTATACACGGCCACCTCAGCCCAGCCCCCTCTCCTTCCCTCCGATCTCTGTGTCTTGAGCAATTACAGGCCAGCTCTACTTTGCAGAATTTAACTTTCAGCAGCTTTTTTCCTTTCTTCTTCTTCTTCTCTCACAAATCAATGATGGAGCTGAAGGAGGCGGTTAATTGAATTACGGGGTCATTAAAATGCTCACGGTGACTCTCTCCTGCAGGAGTCTGCACGTGGCTGTTGCGTCTAATTAATTCTGAGGAAAATGACTTAGCCTGATTAGAACATGAAAATGTGTTTGTTCATTTATATTCTTGAATTTTTGCAAAATGTTTTAACTTTGTGTTTTGTTTTGTTTTGGGGGAGAAAAAACATATTGGTGAATTTTAGCGTGAAAAAAGTTAAGTTTCTGCTAGTTTTGGATCCAAAATGCGCACATAGAAGGAATCAGTTTTTTGAAGAGACAAGTTTATTTAAAAAAAAATGAAAACAGAAAGTTGACGACCTGTAGCTTGTGAAATATATTTTTTGGATTTAAATCGTGTTTTTTATATTAAAAAAACAAAAGATTAATTGATGTTTATACTAAAATAAATTATTGACATTTTTATTTATTTGTGTATTTCCAGCTAATAGTCGCATGCATCTAAATGAATTTCTACGGAGAGTTTCCAACATTCAACGGCAACACACGTTTAAATATAATTGAACTTTTGTAATATACACTAGCCCCCTTTGGAGCTCTCACTTGTAATCCTTTTACCAATCTGGGGTAGAAATCAGATACCAGCAGTGAAAAAAACGTTCCCCTTTATTCGGGATTTTCCATGGGAACAAGGGAGCCTGTAACCGCTTATCTAAGTCCAGTACGCAAACACAAAAGGGCCTGGAATAGAGTGTGGGACCCCCCTCACCCCCGACACCCCAGCACCCCCTTGGGTCCCTGCCCTGAGCGGCCCGCCGCACTGAAACTCTCATATCTCAGCTCTCTAATGACTCGGTTTGATGTCTCTTCATTTATCAGCGGGTCCGCTTCGCTTCAGCGCGCCTGACGCACACGCGTCTCCCCTGTGCCACGAACTGCGTCTCTCTCTCTCTCTCTCTCTCTCTCTCTCTCTCTCTCTCTCTCTCTCTCTCTCTCTCTCTCTCTCTCTCTCTCTCTCTCTCTCTCTCTCTCTCTCTCTCTCTCTCTTCTTTTGTCGTTAATAGACCCAAATCCCCTTTAAACGCAAATCTGCACTCCCTGCTCGTGCGCCACGCATCATCCCCACTATAAAGTCACAAAAGAATCCACAATTGCGGGATTTCCTGTAATTTAATTAGGGGGAATATCTCACTTCTGCACTTGGGGAACTTAGAGTGTGTGTTTTTATTTATTAATGGTTTTCTGATGGGCGCGTGCAACACATAATGTTCAAGAAAGAATTCATGTTTCCGAAGGCGGTGCAATCTTCCAAATAGTTTTATTGCATTATTATTATTATTATTATTATTATTATTATTATTATTATTATTATTATTATTATTATTATTATTATTATTAATAATAATAATAATAATAATAATAATAATATTTTTTATTATTATTATCAACACAACACATTTCATATTCTTTCCAGCAACAAAGCCTTTTTCCAGAATAATGAAGGAAAACGCATCGCCAGAAGGCCTATAGGCTGCGCCTGTTTAATATGAATGACGAACACAGCGCCCAATTAGAAGACACCGCGCATCTCTGCACCTTTTCAATGTTGCACATTCTACATTTTATTTCAGCTTGTTTTCCAGTTTTTAAACAAGTGTTAGTGAATATATTCCTGCAGCTGCAATGCTTTCTCTAAATATTAATTGCATGTGAACTATTAGTATCATACAGACGTGAGGGACTTGTCGTCCAATCAGGAGCAGCCTGGAGGCGCATCAGAAATCTGAGAGGGATGCTCTTTACGCACAGGCGCGGGTGTCGCTGAGGTTTTAGTGGCCAAAAAAAACTCTTAAAGGAGCCTCGATCAGATTCCCACACACTGTTTATTCCGTTCAAACAGCCCGCCTTTCCTGTTACACTGTGTCTGCGTAGGTGTAGCGTTATTGTTTGTGAGTCTGGGTTATTTCAGAAGCAGGAGTGAAGGACAAAATCACATTTGTCAAAACAGTTTAAAATAAATGATAAATCTAGGGAGATATTTATTATTATCAGTATAATAATAATAATAATAATAATAATAATAATAATAATAATAATAATAGTGATTATTATTATTATTTTATTATTATTATTATTATTATTATTATTATTATTATTATTATTATTATTATCTATGTTTACACTGCTAAAAATAGCTCATTTGTTTGACTTTTGTTTATTTTAGTTGTGAAGTGGGAGTTTTAATTCTGAAGACCATTTCTTATTTTATTAACGTTTCTCATACACCGTTGTTGGTTTCCTTTGATTGATGCAGGGACATGTTGTAATTTTGAACTATTAGATTATTAATACTGTATTACATTTAGTTATTGTTACTTTTATTATTTTATGGCAAAAATAAATAAAGACACAAAACTAAACATTGTAGAGGGATAATCTAAAAGAAAAAACAGGACCACACTTTTAAAAGTCACCTTAAAAAAACAATAAGTTGGCAAATTTCCTTCAGTTGAGTCAGGTGTGTGTTTATCACTCAGCTACCAAACATGGTGAGTTTATTTTTTTAGTCCCGCCCACATATCAGCTGATGAGTTTCCTCCTGAAACTGCAGAGACCGAGACGAGTCTGCTGGTGGAGATCAGAGCAAAGTAAAGAAGATGTCGGAGTCAGATTGTGGATTTTGAAGCTCCTAACCCTAACCCACACATCAGGTTTACACATCTGGACAGCTGTTTGTGTAGGAGAGCCACCGAGCCCAGTCAGCATCTAGATTTGACAGAAAAACAACAGTAGTTTCCTGTTTGGACACAAATATTCTCTCTAGTATAAATTACTTTTATTAACCTGTTTCATATCACTCAGCTGTGAAGTTACAAATTATAGCCTAATCATATATCTGGACTGATGTCAGGATTTGTTAGATGGGTATTTTTTCCTCATTGGTTGTTTTAATTTTGTAATTACCCTATGTGTGTTTCTTCCACTTGTCCTCTTTGCACCATCCTCATGATGTTTGACAGATGTAATTGAAAAGTGACTTTTGAAAAACTAACTTTAAAAAGGTAACTTAGCTTCTCATTTCCATGAACATAAAGTCTTTCTTGGAGTGGCACTTATCTCCAGATGTTATCAGCTTGTCCTATAGGGACGGTCAAGTAATAAAAAGAAAAAAAATGCAATAAAGTGTTTTAGTTGGATTTGATTCGGTGATGCAGAGGTGCTGCAGATGTGGTCCTGAGCACAGACAGAAAATTGGATTCTTCCCCTGGTAAGAAAAAATGTAAACCTCTCCCAAGAGGACACGGAGGATTTGAGCTAGCTGTCGTGTTAATGGTGGTGATTGTGTGTGTGTTTATTAGAGTCCTCTGGCTTGTCTGCGGGTGTGAGGAACTCCTCGGTTGTTAAATTGCTTGCTGCCTTCGTTTGGGTCCTTTAGCAGAGCTTCAGCGGTCCTCTGAGACTACAGGCTGTTCTGTTTTCAAACATCTTGTCTGCCATCTAAATAAGGCTTTCAGGGCAAAATACAAAAAAATCAACATGAAAATAACACAATATGGTGAACATTAGCTCACGCTCAGCTGGGATGTTTAGGGAATATGGTGCTTTTCCTTTTAGGGTTGTTATTTTTCCATATTCTCTGACTGCTATCTACCCACAGGGCACTGAGGCCTCTGTGAGAGAGAGAAAGCATGAAATTGACAGTATACCCTTAAATGCAGTGCAGATTTGCATGCAGAGCACAGTAATCCACAGACAATGCTTGAAAATCAAACACATGCTCACATATTTCTCCCTCTATAACAAGCTGTGCACCTAAATCTACTCATTAACCGATTTGCTTAAAAACGACAGGTTAGTTTAACGTCAAGCACAGAAAAACACAGCTTTTTCCACAAGTCAGCTCCTGTCGTGCTTGTGGTCAGAGTCTCAGGGGAAATGCAACCATTTTTTTTTACAAATCAATAGCATTCAAATAATTCATGGCTGATCATATGGTGTTTTAGCTCCTTATTTGCTGTAGAAAACCATGTTTTGTTTGGCTCCCAGAGGGCAACATGAAAGACCCGCAGAGAGGCGGGGAGAATTGGAAATGTTACTGGAGAGACTGCATGAGGATAATAGGAGGACATTGATCATTTGGTGCACAAGAAGACAACTGAACCTGCAATTCAAGACTAACAAGATGTATCATTTATACATTATTTAGACATGTCTGGGCTTTTTTTGGGGTGTGTGCACATATTGTTACATCCGGTTTGCATCACCAGCTTTAGAGGGGACACAGCAGTGACCTCAGATGAAGGAAAAAATCTAGCAATTGTACTTTTAATCTTATTTTATTGTCCATCCACCCATTTCCAAAAGGAGCGAGGACAAAGGAGGAGGGAAAAAAGAAAGCACAAAAGCAGTTTGATCTGCACTCTGCTTGGATATTTCTCTGTTGTCCATCTGAAATCACTACCGTGGGAGCAAATAAATCCCAATTTGGGTGGCGTTAGTCAGTCACAGCTTGTAATAAAAATTAATTTTGCAAATGTGGAGATGGATCAAGTTCCCGCTTGGCAGGGAAACCGCTCCTACAGACATGTTAACAACGTCTTCAGAGACCAATGAGGTCCATTTACAATAAGTGTGTGTTTTAAGTCACGGGCTTTGTGTGTGTGTGTGTGTGTGTGTGTGTGTGTGTGTGTGTGTGTGTGTGTGTGTGTGTGTGTGTCTCACCCCAGCAGGCTATAAGGGGTCCCTCTGGTGTCAGCCAGCCCGAGGGCGGCCATTTGAGCCAGACGGCCTTTAATGGAGCGATGCTACACTTTCTCAATCACACAATTAAAGCCCGATCCGGAGAGAGGAGAAA